ATTTACCATTTAGCCAATTTATTTACCATTTAGCCAATTTAGTTACCACGTTAGCCAATTAAGTTACCATTTAGCTAGATTAGTTACCAAAAGCAGTTAATTAAATTGAACATCAACATTACCAAAAGCAGTTAATTAAATTGAAAATCAACAGTCAAGAGCATCAGAAGCTGAAAGACCCTGCACCAGCTTCATTGAGGAGGAGTTCAAACCAAAATCAAACCCAGAGACATGACAACCCTGAAGATTGCTGAAACCTAGACTGTAAAGTACCTTTTATTTTAAGCCTGTTAGAGCTGGGGAGGAGAAACCTTTTTCTTTTGTTCTTTAAAATAAATTTCCCCTTTTGGACTTTACATTCAGCTTTGGAGCCTTTTTGGATAAAAGAGTTTGATCTCACCAGGGTACTGGCGTTACACACCCATATTTGCCACCACCTTTAGTTGGGTGTATCTTTACACCATTTAATGAATTAAAAATAAGTTGTAAAAGTTAAAACAGTTTGAAATCATTTTTGGAATAAATCAGTTTGTTCCAATGGCTTAAAAAAACAGCTATGTTTTTACTCAGCATCTAAATGCATCCAGTATTGACACCAATGAAACTTCCCAAGGTGTCTGAGAAGGCATTCTGCAAGGTCCTCATACAGTATATTGACTGCACTGGTGAGACACAGAGGAACATCCTTCCAGCAGACCTCATTCCATAAGTTCTCCTTCTTTGGAGGTTTTTAACAACTGTTGGGAGTGCTTTGATTGTGTATTATGGCATGGCAAGGGATTGGACTGGATGGCCCTAGTGGTTTATTCCAACTCTATGATTTTAGGTAGAAATATTGAGAGCTTGTTGCCCACCCATGTTTTGGACTGTGTCATTACCTCTTACAGAAGAGGAGCTGGTTTGTTTCTCTGTCTTGATTGTTTGTGCCTCCTGGTGCTGCACAGATATAACCTACCTGTTTATAATAATGCATAGCTTGTCACAACCCCATGTGGTGTAGTGGTTTGAGTGTTTGACTATGACTCTGGAGACCAGGCTTCAATTCCCTGCTTAGCCATGAAACCCACTGGGTGACCTTGGGCAAGTTGGCCTCAGGGGAAGGCAATGGCATACCTTCTTTGAACAAATCTTGCCAAGAAAACCCCATGATAGGCTTGCCTTAGGGTTGGCATAAGTCAGAAACAACTAGAAGGTAGACAGCAGCAACAACAACAAATAGCTTGTTACAGAAGCTTGAGACATATGGAGGCTGCAATCCCTGCAGAGCACAGTGGTGTTGGCTCCATAGAACTTTGGTGCTGGTGTGGCTGCCCCAAACTGTGTTCTGGGGCTCAAGAATCTGGCTGCCCTTCCAAAGTGAAATGAGAAAGTTAAACACTCTTAAATAAGTTTTTTTGTGGGGTTTGGGGGCTATTCTTCTAGAACACAGCCTCATAGCCCCAAACCCCCACCAAAACCTATGGATGTTGGCCATGAAAACCTTCCACTTAAATAACTCACAAGTGGGAAAGAAAATATGGAGTAAGGGTATGAAGAAATCTCAGTGTTGCTGAGATGGGGTTGTGACAAGCTATGCATTATCAGCATGGTGGGAGAGCAATGGTGTCTTGTAGGGGTTTTAAGAAAACGTAAGCCCCTTTAGTCATGTGGTTGTACATTTAGACCATGGTATAATAACTGTATGCTGTTCAAAGTTGTATAAGCAGTGTTCTGCAAGTATGACTGTTGCACATGCAAAGGGATTTTGTAGCACCTTTGAGACTAATCTATGAAAGCTTATGCTACAACCTCTTCCACACAGCCAATCTCAAATGTACTACAAGATCCTTTTACATATTCTCATTGCGCATACAGTTAGCTGTACGTTCTTGGATGGTGTCTCATCATTGTAGAGTTACTACTGACAAAACCACTTCCTTGCCTAAGAAAACCCTATGAAATTCATGGGATTGCCATAAGTCAATAGGCAACTTGAAAACACACAGACACACACAGCTTACTACTTGCTTCACTAGGATTGTAGAAACAACAGTTGCAATTCCCCATTTCAGAATGGATTAGTAATCAGACACATTGGCAGAGCTAAGCAATTGCACATCAACAGTATTTAGCAGCAAGGTGGTATCATGCAGCATCACCACATAACTATGTAAGCATATATTTACACTAGGGAAGTATGATCTAGGGTCTTGATCAGCATCCCTGTGTTCCTCTGATCCTCTGAAGAGATTTCTCCTTAATTGCAAAATCAGGATGCCAAATGTTTTGGGTTCCCCCCCCCCCGTGTTATGGTTCCTGTGATTTGTACAGTATTAACCTTCTGCAAAACTCCTGCCTCTGCCCTGAAATGCAAAACACAACAGTTGACAGTGTTCTTGACAGGACATTTCTTGTTAAGAACAAGAAAATTGGTGAATATCATCTACTCATTATTACTTTGCCTTTCAAGGAAAATACATTTCCCCAGTCTGATAGAGGGGAGGGTATTTTGGCTTGCCATATATTTTTTATTAAAAAAAAATCAGTATTATTAAACAGAAGTATAAGCACAATTACAAACATTTTGTATGAATACATCTAAAACACAGTCAAACAAAAATAAATTTACACTACTGACTCCTCCCTGCCCATGGATATATACCATTATTTCTCCACTTCCTGACATATGATGAAATATTTATGTCTCTACCAACTCTGTTTACTTTACAAAACCTAAAACGGATTCATATTCCCAATAGGACTCTCAATATGTAATCAACAATTTCCAAACTTTCTTAAAATTATTCAAAAATTTCTGTTTGATCAATATTCCAAACTTGTTGATTTCAACAAGATCAATCATCTTCATCAGATGGTACTTGTGTTGATGTGTCAGTGTCTTTCCACCTCTGGGTGTATATTATTCTCATTGCATGGCTTAACATAGGGGCTAAGCAGACTGGCAGCCGTGGGCCACCCTGGGAAGCTGCGCCATGGGACCGAGGCATCCCCACGCCTCGATCCTGTGGCACAGCTTCGCCGCTTCTGAAAGGAGCGCTAAATTAGCGCTCCTTTCACAAGTCAGCGAAAGTGTGTTGCAAAAGGCTGCGGTGCACTTTCGTCAACGTTCCCGCCGCAGCGCGTGGAAAGGCTGCAGCGGGAGGTCCTCCTCGGAGTGCCAGCCATACAGAGGGCCGGCTGCTCCGAGGACGACCTCAGGAGGGGGTTGGGGCGCCCAGTGTGCGGCTGCTCCTCCCCTTCCCTGCCCCCAAGATGGCCCTTTCAGCCGTCTGCTTAGGGGGTTAGTTAATCTTACTAGATGGCTTATTGCTTAGATTCCACCACCACCCATGCCCTTGATTCTTAACACCATACAAACGATGTTATATCCATAGTTTTTTGTGGGTTTTTCAGGCTATTGTGGCCATGTTCTAGAAGAGTTTCTTTCTGACATTTCGCCAGCATCTGTGGCTGGCATCATTCTCTGAAGATGCCAGCCACAGATGCTGGTGAAACGTCAGAAAGAAACTCTTCTAGAACATGGCCACACAGCCCGAAAAACTCACAAAAAACTATGGATGCCAGCCACAGATGAAAGCCTATAACTTCACATGTTATATCCCTCCCGAGGCATTCCAGGAGGTGGACCCAGTAGAGAAGAGTTTGGGAAGGCAGACCGTTTTGTGTTTTGTTTTGAAGTGTAAACAACAAAGGGAAAAAAATCAAGCTTCTCAGCCACCTCCCAAAGTTAATTTTGCATTGTGTAAATGATGAGATATTTTGTGACCCCATGAGAGCACTGTTGTATTGAAGGTTAGCATTATTATTAGAGTTAATGGTAGTGTTTTTTGTGAATTCCTTGCTTTCTATTTTTGATGCTGTTGCCACCCAAAAGTATAGTTATTGAACAGGCTTAATATATCACTTCTGCTTCTTGGCATAATGATGCACTGAAAAGCCAACGAAATCTCGTGTCAAAAAGCAGTAGGTTTGTTGGGGCAATTGCTTCCAATCATTTTTGTCAGGTTAAAAAAAATGCCATGCATGTTAAGGGGTCAGAATATGAGGAGACAGTTGACAACTGTCTATGACAGTGACAAAATCACAAAATGAGCTCATTGTCAGACTGGTTCACTGTGGTTTCTACAGTGCAATATGACTCTGGAAGACTAAAATGCTCCATCTTAGTAAATGAGAGTAAAGTAAGGAGCAATCTTGCCCCATGCCTTCCACCTCAACAAAAATGGGAAATAATAATTTCTCTGAGACACCCAAGGGAAGGCCAAAACAGAGGTAGGTGAGATGCTGTGTGTCACTATGACCAGATCAGACACCTCTATGAACAGGTTGGCCAGCACATAAGCCTCAGCTGAGGAAAAGCCTTTCTGACTATTGATGAAACCTGGTCACCCAAATGTTGTGTACAAAGAAATGCACAAAAATGTAAAATATAATCAGCCCTCCACATCCATGGATTTTTTTTATCCACAGATTCAACCATCCATGGCTTGAATTTTTTTTTTTTAATATAAATTCCAAAAAGTAAATTTTACCATTTTATATAAGGGATACAATTTTACGATGTCACTGTATATAATGGGACATAAGCATCTACAGATTTTGGTATCCTTGGGAGATCCTGGAATCAAACCCCAGCGGATAACAAGGGCAAACTGCATTATCACAAAGAACAAAGCTCAAGGTGTCTTTTGTGATGCAATGAAATAGACATGTAAAATCTCCTTCCGTGTTTTGATGATAGCCATGTTAATCTGATACAGCAAGTAAATAAGTATAAGCCCAACACTAAATGTTTCATAATCACGTAAAAAAATCAGTGGGAAAAGAGGAAGCCCAACATTACAGATGGATAGACTCATTCATCAAAGCCACTGCAGCCACTCACTCATAAACCACAAGGTTGCGAGTTCAATACCAGCCAGGGCTGAGGCTCGACTCAGGCCTGCATCCTTCCAAGGTTGCTAAAATGAGTACCCAACTGTTGGGGGGCAATCAGCTCACAGTTATAAACCGTTTAGACATCCCATAGCATGATATGAAGTGGTAAATGTATAGATGAAGCTGCTTTGCACTGCAAGACCTGAACAAGGCAGTTGTTAATTGAGGATCTTTGAGGTCAAAGCACCTAACAACAAATTATGACATAGATTTTTTGAGATTAGCCATTCACTAAACTAGCTTCCTTGATCAAGTCTATCCATCTGTGATGTAGTCTTCGTCTTTTCCTACTGCTTTCTAACTTACCAAGCATTCTTGTCTTTTCTAGTGAGTCATATCTTCTCATGAGACATCCAAATTGATATATAGCTATCAATGTAGTTACCAATTTCACAAATAGCTTGTTTGTTTGTTTACTGGATTTATATCCTGTCTTTCTCCCAAAATGAGATTCAGCATAACATTTCAAGTAACTGATGATTTGGACTGTACTCCATGGAAGTCTATGCCATAAAATGTTGTCTTTCAGGTGCAAGAAGACTCCTCATTACATTATTTGATCTCTTTAAGGGTTAAACTGGAGGTGACATCAGAGATTCTCACTAAAACCATAATATATAAATGGTGAGCAAAGGAGCCTACAGTTCTGACAAATCACAAGGACTACTAGGTGTAATCAGTTTAATTGGCTGATTGATGATCATGGGAGGAGGGAACAATTTTAATCAGTGAAGATACATTTTGATTTGTAGCACTGAATGTTAAATGCACAGTTGTTGCCTTGTTGTCATTTTCCCTTGTGGGGGATAATTTTGTTCTGGAAGGTCATGAGATAAGAGAGAATGAAAAAGGATATTTTCTTAAGAAATGTGAAAACAATTTCATTTGTGCAGTAGGATTTCTTTTCTCACTTTTGCACAGTTCTCTGGGCTCCTCAGAAAGCTATTCCTAAGTGACAGGGAATCTTTTACAGCAAGGATGCTAATCATGTAGCCCTCCAGATACTGCAGGACTGCAGGTCCCAGCAGACTAGTCTCCATAGGTAATGGTGATGAATGCTGAGTTGTTGTTTTTTTTATTTTAAGCACATGAAACTATGTTTATGCAAATACATTTAGG